TACAACGAAAACCTGACGGCCCGGTCTTCGGTCCCTAGCCATCGTGGCCTCCTCCCCCTGCTGCCCTTCTTCGTTTTGATTCACCGCGGCAGCTCATCTTTGCGGAACTATTCGGTTTTCGTTACCCTGGACTGACCCGACCTCCCCGGGGCTCAGTGGCGAAAGATCGATCTCGGGATATCCTCTGGTTCGAAACGAGAGCCTCCCGTTCCAACCGGGAGACTCAACCCCTACGGCCAAAAATCCTCGGCCACGCCCCTCCTATAACTCTGATCGGCGACCCGGTATGGGAAGTCACGAGGGAGCGTGAGGTTGGTATCAGAGCTGATTCGTTTCGGCTCCGAGGTTTTCCTAGGACGATTACCCTGTTTAAGAGTTTTTCCTTTTTGATCTTTTTTTTAAGATTTGTCTCACTTTTGAGTAGGCTGGCTCCCCGTCGACGGCGACCCGCGAATAGCAATCAGAACGGAGCGAGAGGCCGGGCTCGAGATCCGGCTCCCGCGATGGTGGAACCCGGAATTGGGGGTGGAAACGGCGGCGATAACCACGCGGTGATGGCCAATCATCCCTTGTATTTTGTACCTCCTCCCTCCGAAGTTCCCATTTTCTCCGAGGATGATACCGACCCTCGCACCTGGCTGGCCGCCTTGAAAGCCCAGGGCTGGTCGGACCAGTTGCTACGAGAACGAATCCCAGGGAGGTTAGCCGGAACCGCTTTTGAGTGGTATGGGCAGAACCCCTACACTAATTGGCTAACCTTCCAACGAAAGTTTCTCGAGCGTTTCGATCACATCGCACCCGGACAGTGCCTTCGTCTGATAAAAGAATATACGCAGCAGCCTCGGGAAACCTTGGCCCGATATGCAGAGCATTTTACTTACCTAGCCGAATGCTCCGGGGTCGATGAAAAGATTGTGCGGACTGATTTCGTTAGGGGACTGTCTGATTCTCGCTTGCGGAAGAAGATCCGCAAGAAATGCAACCCGATAGAACATGCCCTGACCGAACTCATTCAGTATGCCATTGAGTACGGGAAGGAAAATTACGATGTACGTCTGGATTCGGAGTCTGACGAAGACGACCCTTCGGGTGTCCGACGCTATTGTTACTCCGCTACGGCGCGAATGTTAGAGGATCGCTTCGGGTTAAGACCGGCGAAGAAAAATTCGGATCAGAAAATTTCGTCTTCCGCGTCAACCTCCCGACGCTCTGGTCAAGCTCAAGGAGGCCGGGACGAGGACGAAATATCAATGAAAGAGGTCGCGGCTCAGCTGGTCACGGTAGTGGCCCCGCTGACGGACTTCGTTCAAAACTTGCAGCGACAACGGGTGGCGGCTGCGCAACGACAGCAAACTGCCATGGCCGCCGGTACCCCTATGACCCGACCAGCCGCAACAGGAGTCGCCCAACCTCTACGGTGCTACAACTGCAATCAGCCGGGCCACCTTGCGAAAGATTGTCCGAAACCTCGAACTCAGAGTGGGCCCGCGGGGCCCACCAGACCTTCCCAAATCCCGTTGGCTGCTCCAACCGCTGCAGGACAAGGGAGGGTAGCCACAGTGATGGATATTGGAACAACGGAAATGGTGACCCCCGCGGCCGCCGAGATAGGACCCGATGAGTATATGGCTGCGGCGATGTTCGAACCCGGGACCATTGGAGTGATACGTCACGTCCAAAGGATTACTGAGGAAAGCGACCTCGGGCCTTGGCGGCCGGGGTTCGAAGATCTCATGGCCCCTGGCCCTGAGTACAAAGACGGTCACATCGACGTGTTAGATGCATTGAAGGCTCTGGATCTACGGATCCCCGTCCCTATTCCCTATCTGCTAACCATTTCCGAAGCGGCTAATGAAAAGTTGATCGAACGATGCCTCAAAAACAGGCGCCGATTCAAGGAAAGTCGAAAGGGCAAAAAGCCGGTCCTACGAGGCCTACCCACAAGCAAAGAGTCACAACCCTCGACCTCAAAGGTGCACGAAGCCAACCGGGTAGGAATGATCCAGACCGTAGATCCTGCCTCGGAAAAGCCTGAGGTATTCCTCTGAGCCTATCCTATAACCTGGAAAAGCATTGAGTGTGACTGCGAGGTCTGAGGAAACCCCTCGGCCGCCATCCTAGACTCGGGATCGTCAGCGGTCGCCATTTCGAAGATTGACGAAACGATTGGGAAGGGAAGGACAGATTCAGCCCCTCCGACCGGATGAACTGTATATATCCGCTACGGAGGGCAACATTCATTGTAAGGGGCGGATAACGAACGTGCCTATACGGGTGGGGCGGGTGCATTGTTTGTGCGACGCAATCGTACTGGATGTACAGGCGTATGATGTTCTGCTAGGCATACCGTGGCAGGCGGCGGTCGGAGCGCGAATGCACTTTGACAGTTGTAAGGTGGTGCTCACATCGGCCCACCCCAAACCACAAACGATACCGATGAGATTGGCGGTGCGCATGCGCACCCAGCCGGCACCTCGAATCACCACGAAAGCCCATCAAATCAACATGATTCGACGCTTGCCACCAGGCGAAAATGAAACTTCGTCGGAAACTGACGAGACTGATGTACCCGGCCGATATCCGATCCGGGTTCAGGATCGGTGGCGCCATTCCTGGCGACGAGAACCCCTGGAAATAGTTCGGAGTGAATCCGATTGGTCGCACGCGTTCTCCTCCGTGGTGCAGGGAGAACCCCTGCTGCGGGTGTCGCGAATAACTGACCTTTCGGAACCCCCTACGTCCTTATATCTTAGGACGGACCCCCTACCCGAAAGGTTTACGGAGCTTAGGGGGTTGTGCGATTTGACCTTTCGGCCTCCCAGGCCCCTACTTACGAACGCAAAAGCCGCCCTGCTCTTGAAGGAAGGGGTGTCGTTTCAACCCCGAACGAGGGAATATCAATGGAGGCCGAAGGAGCTGTTACAGGCCTTTTCAGTAGAACCCTCGGCTGAAACCGAGCTCGAGAACGACAGTGACATGGAAAACGAACCGATAAGCCCAGCAGACAGTCAACTCATCGTGACCGTGCTTTCGGCAAAGACCGACAATTCGCTGTTCGGTGCCTCACCCGAAGCCAACGCGGCAGTCCCCACGGTTACGTCGACGATCTACCTCCGTGAGGGAAACGTGGACGTCCGGCTGCCGGCCCATGTGCCTGACGACTATAAGCGCCTTCTTTTGGCAGTTATACGTGCCTACCCCGAGGCCATCAGCATCCAGGACCACGATATAGGACTTACCCACCTGATCCAACACGCGATTGATACCGGTGATCGTGCCCCGATACATTGTCGACCGTACCGCTATTCCCTAAAAGAAAGACAGCTGGCCTTGGAAAGGGTACGGGAGTTTGAGCGGTTAGGGTGGGTTGAACCGTCGCTGGGACCATAGTCATTTCCCCTGGTCCTCGTGCCAAAATGAAACGGTTCAGTCCGAGTGTGTATTGACTACCGCAAATTAAACGCTATTACTACCAAAGATGTCTATCCGCTGCCGCGGATTGACGATCTACTGGATGCTATCGGGTCCGCTCAGGTCTTTTCGAAGTTCGATATCCGACACGGTTTTCACCACGTCGCAGTCCGACCGGAAGACCGGCCCAAAACCGCTTTTGTCCTGTTCGAGGGCACGTGGCAGTGGATCCGATGTCCCATGCGAATTTGCAACGCCCCTGCAACATTCCAGCGGGCCATGAATATGGCCTTCGCCGAGTTCGTTAACAAAACCCGTTTGACACAGCCGTTGATAAATTTTTGTGTGATTGTGTACATGGATGACATTTTGGTATTTTCCAAAACCTACGAATACCATGTGGAGCATATTGAATGGGTGTTGCATGCGTTGAAAGATGCGGGGTTCAAGGTGGCTCTGGAGAAAAGCGAGTTCTTTTTGTCCGAAATTTCCTTTTTGGGCTACATCGTCACGGTCGAGGGACTGAAACCGGATCCCAGGAATGTAGCAGCGGCTCGAGAAGCCCCGGCCCCGGTCACGCTCACTCAGGTTCGAGCCTTCCTAGGGCTGGCCTCTTATTATCGACGCTTCATTCGGAGCTTTGCCTGCCTCGCCAAGCCGCTGACGAACCTGCTGAAGAAGGAGGAGCAGCTGATCTGGACGCCGGAATGCGAGGCGGCTTTTCAGGCACTCAAGGAGGCTCTGACATCGGCGCCCGTGTTGGCGCGTCCCGATCCGACAAGACAGTTTGCGTTGCATACCGAATGGCAGCCGCAGGCGATATCGGCGGTGCTGACTCAGCAAGGAACGGATGGAAGGGAGCACGCCATCGAGTATGCGTCGAAAACGCTAAGCCAGGCGCAGTCGAACTACGAGGCGTGCAAGGGTGAGTGCTTGGCGGTGGTGTGGGGGGTTCAGCACTTTCGACCGTATCTGTATGGCCAGAAGTTCGTGCTCGTGACGGATCATCGGCCATTGCTATCGTTGCGGAACAACACGGACTACACGGGTACCTAGGGAAGGTGGGCGGTGAGATTGCAGGACTACGACTTCGACATCCGCCACCGCGCCACCAGGCAGCACGGGAACGTCGATGGTCTGACGCGCCTCCAGCCGCCGAACAAGAGTCCCGTGAACGAAAAGCTCATCCCGTGGAAGCCGATTTCGCCCTCAACGGAACCCGGCTACGGGGAGGTGAATGTCCTCCGCAAGGGTACTGCAGCAATCGGAGATGGCGATCTCCCATGAGGAGGCCTCCACCCCTTCTCCCCTTCCCTATCCTTGAACCCCCTCTCTTGACCCCGACTCCCCTCCGAGCACGCCTTCCCAAATCTGTTTCTTATGCACCTTGCCCATGATACCGACAGGGGGAGATCCTCCTCTCGAGGGGCCTAGCTTTCTTCCCTGGGTACAATGTAGTCAATGTCACATCATTCGGTCCCACGGGAGTTGTGCCCGGTATCGGAATGAAAAAAGTTGGAACTGCCCCAACTGTCGAACGGACCACGTACCTACGGAAAAACGGTATCTAGGAGCCAGAACGGCAGACGAATTTTTGCCAAGCGTCCGCCGAGCGAAAGTCTGGATGGATCTTCTGCTATTACGGAGACTGACAGGTGACCTGCTGACGGAACTTACCAAGGCTGAACGGCGACGTGTCACGGAACGGGCGCACGATTACCGCTGGCAGGGATCCGTCCTTCAAAAACGAAAAGATGATGACGTCGACGGATCTAGTTGGCTGACGGTTCCACACCCACAGGCCAGGTTCGATTGGACACGAGCCGCCCACGAGGAGGATGCGGTTCACTTTGCAGTCAAATACACGGAAAAAGCAATAGAGAAAAACGGATGGTACTGGTCGGGAATCCGGGAAGATGTGAAATACATCGTCCGGACTTGCCTGGCCTGCGCGGCCGATAAGGCGCCGATACAGATGCCCCGTACAATAGTGCCTACCCGGGTAGAGCGCCCCTTCCAACGGGTCAGTATCGATACGACGGACATCAACGTGCCGAGAGGCCCTGTTGATCAAGGAGAACTCAATGTTCTTCTTGTAGCCGTATATCATTTTTCGAAATGGATCGAAGCGTATCCAATGACCAGCTGGAACTCGCAGGAAGTAGCCTGGTACAGTAATCACTTTTTGTGGATGCACCTGGACGTAGAAGAGATACATATGGACAATGGATCCGAGTTCCATGGGGAAGTAGAGCGACATCTTGTAAGGGAAGACATTAGAATTTCATACTCCCCAGGGCACAGGCCTCAAGCCAACGGGCTCGTAGAAAATGCCAACCGAATGATCAAGACTGCACTTAGACGGAATATCACGGCAGGTGATACCAGGCCCTGGCCTGTCATAGTCGACCACATTTTGGCCATCTATCGGGCTACTCCCCATGGGAGCACCGGGGTGTCCCCGTTCCAACTGAGAACCAATAGCGTCCCCAGAGTGCAGCTGTCACCTTTAGTGGGTACGGAAGTTAGAGTGACCCGGGCCCAGCACAAGGACAAGGCCCAGCATTACCTGGATCTGATGGCCCGGACCTATCCCACGTTAGCCCGAAGATGACAAAGGGCCGTAGATCTGACGCATCAACGGCAAATCCGGGACTATGAGAACCGACACGCGACAGCAGGACCAATGCCCCGTTATAAAATCGGGGACTTGGTGCAGGTACAGAAATCTGCGCGCTCCTCCAAGATCCACCCACGCTATGCCGGCATTTACGAAGTGACGGAAGTTGGCGCATGAGGACAACACTCCGTGAAGCTGGTCCCCCGACATAGCATGCCAGGTCGCTTACGTGACACGCGGCGGCTCTTCGGCTGTTTCAGCCATCTCCGGGCCGCGAATCGGCTCTTGCCCCGTCCGAGCCTTCGTCCTTTCTCTCCTCCTCTCCTTCTTCGTCTTCTTCCTCTTCCCGATCTGCCTCGTCCCTTGGTGCTGAGAGTTTCAGGGAGCAGGATGAACCATCGCCAGCCGGAGCATGAGCCCCTCGAGCATTTCCAGACGCCGCTTGCAGATCGCTTGTTGCGGCATCAGTTCAATGAGGAGAGGCAGTTGCGATACGACATTCAGCAGGTGAACATGCCAACGCACGGGGTTGTTGATCTGGTGGCGTACTCGTTACTTTGTGATCGGCTGACGTATGCGGGGGTGTACGTGGACGTGACGCAGTTGCCTGGGCGGGAAACGACTCGAGTGTTCATCGAGTTCCGCGCGCTCCAGGTGGCACCTAACTTCGTGCATAGCGTCGCCACCTTTATCGGAGACTTGACGATCCTGCCACAGCCGAGTCGGGAGCTGGCGCGAAGCTTTGTGCGCCAATACGCGGTGCAGGCGGCCAGATCAGTGGGCAGAGTGCAAGGACGGGGAGCGCATCGATTCACAGCCCACGAAGCGCTGCTGCGCAGGGTGGAGGACGGACCAATTGCGTTGGTGCCACAGCTCCCCGCACTTCTTCCTCCCGCTGCCCCTCTCAACATACAAGCTATTCCCCCTGCCCCATACTAAATGCCTCCCTTCTTCTCTTACACCACTCTCCCCTATCAACTCACGGAGGGCCCTTATCCTATGCGCGAGTTCTCGGAGTATTTGGTGGAGCTGACTGACGTGGAGCCGCTGCCCTTCGCAGACGAAGACGTATGGGAGTTGCACTGTGCGCTATACAAGTCGGTGGCGTTGGGGATGTTCCGATTCTTCGTGGATCACGAAGACCACTGTATCGGGGAGCACTTCGTCGCCTATTACGTCATCATGCGGCCCAAGCCAGCGCAGAAGGAGGGGACGGTGGCGTTGTACCCATTCGCCCAGCTCCAGACGACCGATCCGGGATTGTTGGAGCTCATACATCTTGAGCTCCTATCCATTGCGCAAGTGATCGCGAGCGAGGAAGAGGAGATCCAGCCACGATTGCGGATGGCGGCTGCCCCGCGGAGAACGTACAACGTGGTCGTCATCCCGGATTACATTGCGGAGCGCAAAGAGAGGTTGGAGGACTTCCCTGAGGAAAAGCCGCTGCGACCTCCCTCATCGTATCCCAGACCTGCGCCGCCAAAGGCCCTCAAGAAGACGCCGAAGAGGAAGAGACACCACCCATCGCTAGGAGCGCAAGGCAGCCAAATCGGTGCCGGCGAGGAGGTGGTTCAGCCCGTGCGCACGCGGAATCTCGACCCGGTGCCTGGGAGTGGGGCGACACTGGTTAAGGAGACTGTCGTGCCATCGCCGCCCCTCCCGCGCGTGCCCGATCTCAATCACGATGGAGCCGGGCCATCAGCCGCAGCAGCCGGAGGAGGAAGCCGAATGGGATTACCGGATCCCGTATCCAGACCCCCCGTCCTCGCGGGACCTCTCCGCTTCCGCCAGCCACCCCGGAGTGCCCCGATATTGACATTAGCAGTTCCTCCGAGCCGGACGGTCCATCCAATAGAGGTGGATTTCATGGTGGAGCCCACCACCATCAGGCTCGAGGCCATTGTGGGGGCGCCGCGCCCTGATCCGGCGTGGGAGCCATATCTGACACCCTCTTTACAAGGGTGTATCGCGGCGCGATTGGCAGGGACGCTCATCTACGAGACCGGGCGGCGTCCCAATGTGATGTACCACTTCCTCGTCTTCGCGGCGCAGAAGGGGGAGCGGCGGCCCTACACCGAGACTCATCTGGTGATGACGGGTCCCGGACCCCGATCGGTACGCAAACGGGTGGTACGAGCGGTGGCAGATCTGGCGCCACGTGTCCTGTCTCATGTGTCGGGGGCCTTTCTCTATCCCTCGTTCGTCCAGCACCACTTCAATGAGGAGGACGCGCTGACGACTCCCGCGGCAATGGCTGCTTTCCTTCCACCTATTCCACCCCTTCTTAACCCCGACATCGATCACTTCCTTTGATCACCCTCGTCTACTTCTCCCTTCTTCTCTCCTTCTCTTTCTCTTCATCGTCTTCTTCTCCTATGCCCCAAAGTTCGCGCGTCGAGACGCGCTGTATGTATCCAAAATAAATAAATGAATAAATAAATAAATAAATATTTTCAGTGGACTACTTACCAATCGGGCCAGCTGACGATGAAGGGGCCGCCCGATCGGATGTRTAATAAGAGGGAGATGACTGACGATGCGAAATGCATCGAAGTAGGATAGGAGATGCTCGGGCCAGCTGACGATGAAGAGGCTGCCCGAGCATCCAAAATATGATGACATCAGCAGCCGGGAGACTGCTAATTTTTCGGAACCCCCTGCGTATCATAGATGTGATAAGCTCAGACCCGTACCGCGCGGCTTGCCGTATCCTTGAGGAAAAATCCCCCGGAAGCCCCGAAATACGGATGCGAACAAAAAGGGGTTTTTCTTTCTTTTTACTTTCGTTTTCTTTTGAAATGGCCTTTTCACTTTTCTTTGGTTAATAACTCCCGCGCGGGCGAATAGCGGCTGCGGTATGAAAACCAAGAAACGGTTTCGGTTGGGACTTTTGAATTTTTGCGTGCGCGCGCCTAAGCTCCGACTTCTTCGCGCGTCCCGCACCCCCGTTTCTTGCTCTGCGTCCCCACGCCATCTTCCTTTCTTGCTGCGCGCGTTTCCCCCGTGCAGGACTCTTCATCTTCCCCTACGCCCAGCTCGATCCTTACCCCGTCTTCCTCCGCGAAGTGATTGGCTGCGTAGTTGGGATGCTCGGATCAATGTGGAGAGCGGGAAACCGCGTAGGACCATGCAACCCCGCGGGTCGAACCCTCTGACTCCCCACCTTTCTTCTGTCCTGCTCATCTACACCCTGAGCTGCCCGCACCTCGCGCTGACAACCCGCCGCCTCCCGCGCTATAAATTCGCGCAACCCTCTCCTCTCCTCCTCTTTGATCTCGGCTCCAATGCTGCGCGAGCTATGCGCAAAGTCCGCGACGCCGAACAGGCTCGACGAGCCCAAGGACGGGCGGAGTGACGACGCGGAGTGGACCCGCGGTAGACTCGGGGCGAAGCAATCGGAGGGACTGAGCAGTGGTGAGGATTGGACGCCGGCCGCGGCAGGGCCTTGTGGCTATGGTGGTCGGTGGTCTCGGGAAGTTTTGAAGGCTGCGCCTGGGGGCGGCAGTTAATCGAGAATTTTTGTATACAAGAAGGACTCGCTTTTATCTCCACTGCTGCTTTGTCCATGCATGACGTGTGTGTGAGGCCCCGAGTGACGGGAGCTTGTTGTGCGCATGAGTGATGTCAAAGGTCTATGGATGATTGGATGTCCTGTCAAGGGTTGTTGATTGCATGCATGTATGTGTGTATGTATTTATCCGGGCGGGGACGGGGGAACTGAACAGAGGACCGTCTGCTTAGGAGTATGAGTGTTAATCCCGTTGTTCCCCTCCCTTCCGCGGCCCTTCCTGCGCGCACGCGCAGGTTTGGGTTAAACTCTCTCTCTCTCTCTCTCTCTCTCTCTCTCTCTCTCTCTCTCTCTCTCTCTCTCTCTCTCTCTCTCTCTCTCTCTCTCGCCCTTCTTTTTGAACTGGTAGTCATCGCTTTTGAACTTCTCGTCCCCGCACCGGTGACGTCAACCGCCGGCGCCCGCGCGCGCGGTCGACGCCCCCGCGACGGGGAAGAGAACTTAGATTTCATCATCTTCTGCCGACGCACTAACCTCGAGAGAGAAGGGTTGCATAGAGTGTTGCATGGAGATGGTGTTGGTACGGACGGCCGGGAGCGCGGGGTCTGGCCCGTGTTTATCGCCTACCTCCGATCGTCCCATCTTGCTACCGGCCTTCCCCATCGCAGATGACGACAGCGTCTACTGCGATGCGGATGTACGGCGCGCTTTGAGTCGAACGGAGCAAGTCTGTTGGCGAGACCTGCCCCGGGCGTTTAATATTAGGGGAGACGGGTTCGTCTTAATTGATCGTTTCGATTCCCCGACTCTAATATTGCCTTATACGGATTTGACGGTGTTGCCCTGGTCGGCCGCTCACGCCACGTGGCGGCCGCAGTTTGATTGTCGCTGGTGTCGCCAGGGGGACTCGTGTTCTTGGCGACGACTGGTCCTGGGTTACGAGGGAGCGGCACGTTTCCCTGAGCTCTCCCGTAATGCGGGGGCGCTGC